TATTTGGGAAATATATTTAGTTCAGATCATATGACCTTTTATTTTCCCCAGAAAAATATTATCTCCGGATAAATGAGCCTTTTATTAGCTCATTGGCACATGTGTCACTGACTAGACTATGGAAAAGAACTTTTGAAGAAAGGCACCAAGTGTTTAGTCAGGCATAGCGTGAAACTTTGTGAAAGGTTACCTTGATTCCATGCTTAAAATCTTGTGTGATGGACTACTTGAAAGGCTTCCTCTCTCTCTGGATGACTCGTAAGGTGGTGCTGGATAGTGATGAGAATTCGTGTTGCAGCTACTAGCCACATGTGGCTATTGAATAATTACAATTAAATAAGACAGAAGTCTGTCAATCCCTCAGTTGTGTCTGCACACTTAAGTGTTGGTAGCCAAAGTGCAGTCAAATGGCAGTGCATAGATTCTGTTTTCAACTGCCTGTCTGGGTTTGCCTTTTGAGTTATTCCTGATTGTACTTGAACACTTATCACATGAATGTAACACAGGAAACACAGTCAGATCTAAATGAAAGAATGGCACTTAATGTAGCAAGCAAGATTTGATTTAGGGTTATTGAATCCATGTGGAAAACCCCTGAAAACTAACCTGTAGCCTGATGTTTGCCTGTGGTGTGTGAAATAGCACATCCACTTACTAGTGTAGCAGTACATAACAGTGGTATAGTTGCATCAGGATAGCTTGTGTGAACAGGTACACATTGTATGTGCTACCTTACATTTTGTTGGTGAATAGCAGATTACTACAAAGCTGCAAATGCACATCAAATGTGTGGTGTTGCATATGAAGACCCCTTGGACCTTGGAGACACTGAGACGCTGATGGTATCTATGCCCTTTTGGGTTTTGTAAGGGTGGATGGAGCAGGAAATAACTGAAGGGGCAGAGGTAACAAGTTCTTTTTGGTATGATTTAGAGTAGCTTTTGAGCATATGTTTATATACAATCTTACAGCATGTAAGTCTATTAATTAGTTAATTTATCGTCGTCGTCGTCATCATCATCATCATCATCATCATCATCATCATCATTGAGTCAGGGTTTCTCTGTGTAGCCCTGGCTGCTGTTTTGGAACTCTTTTTGTAGACCAGGCTGGCCTCAAACTTGAAGATCCACCTGCCTCTGCCTCCCTGAGCGCTGGGGTCAAGGGTGTGCGCTACCACGCCCAGCTCTCTCTCTCTCTCTCTCTCTCTCTCTCTCTCTCTCTCTCTCTGTGTGTGTGTGTGTGTGTGTGTATGATTAAACCATGACCTTGAGAAAGTTAATTTTGGAGAAAGTTAATTTTAAGAATGCGGCGATCCATGCCTGTGCTTGCCTGGTGTTCACGTCTCTGTAGTTTACACCAGTGATGACTACACATACAAATAACAGATTTGTAAATGTAATCAATTGCCTAAATACTGAGAGCTGTCAATTCTTAGCATGATTTTATTACTGAAACAAAATGCGCAGTAGACATTATGAACATTCTCCAGAGAGTAATTTGGGTTGCAGTGAGTTATTTTATTTAGATTGGTGCTTGGAATTAAATGTTTGTTTGTACCACTATCATAATATAATTTAAATGCCATTTAAATGTGCTGAAGCATCTTCATTCAAGTAACTTGTTACCCTTTGAAAATGGGCTGCTTGAGTATTGTTTCTCTCCCACTTGGCAGACACCAGATGCAGTGATTAATAAAGGTCATTATGCTACTTAGTCATGGAGAGCTTTTAATGACGATTACCTGAACATCTGCTGGCTTCATCCCTGCAGTTCCCAGAAAAACTAACAAATTAGAGGTGCTGCCTCCTAAAAATCTGCCTAAAACTAGTATTTTTAAAGACTGTTTGAATATTCCTTGAGTATTTAAATGATCTTGTGAAGGCTCTTATCTTTCTGTAAAGCGCATAATCCAAATGTCAGTGAAGCAGTGTTTTGGAGTAGTGGTTCTGACAGTCCCTCTTCCTGCTGCTAACCTCTTTTTCTCTCTCAGTGGCTGGTGTCTGTGAACACACCTGGTGAGCAGCATTGTTCTCATGTATGTTGATTGCCGGGAGAAACCTGATTTTGGAAATGGGAAGTTTGGAGTACAGCTGAAAGTGTAGCTAATTCCTGTGCACTGCAGAGTTCTCTACAGACTGAGACAGCCAAGTGCAAATTGGACAGATAGATACAGCACGAGGGCTAGAGAAGGAGTTCTCATGGCTGTTAACACCTGAGAAAATACCTTCTGTCATAAGTATGAGAACCATGTGTAGTGTTAGAATTGCATGTGGATGCAAAAGACCTAAAATCTTGGTGAATAGCCCAAACTCTGCAGGTCGTTGGGCTCTCAGTAGGGCAGTTACAATGGCTTTGAATAACCAACTCTTGGCAGTCTTCTTTGCTCACTTTGCCCAGTGGGTATGGGCTAGCTGCTGTTTTTACATCATTAGATCCAAAAGTCATCAGAAGAAAAAGGAAAACAAAAATCACCCCACCACTATGTGCAAAGGTGCTGTTGAGGAAACTGCCTTTTTTTTTCTTTAAACCTTGCGACATTTTTGTTAAATAAGATTTGAGTTCAACCAAAAAAAAAAAAAAAAAAAGAAAGAAAGAGAAAGAAAGAAAGAAAGGAAGGAAGAAAGAAAGAAAGGAAGAAAGAAAAGAAAGAAAAAAGCTGGTGCAGTGGCCCAGGCCTGTAATCCCAGCACTCGGAGGCAGGGGCAGGTGAATCTCTGTGAGATTGGGGCCAGCCTGGTCTACAGAGCGAGTCCATGACAGCCAAGGCTACACAGAGAAACCCTGTCTCGAAAACAACAACAACAACAAAACAAACAAACAAAAAAACAAACAGAGATTTGGGTTCTTATTAGCAGAGAAGATATGTGAATATTGGATAGGAATCTTGAGTGGTTTTGGCTCTAGGGTTCAAACTCAGGTTAGCAGGCTTGGGTAGCAAGCACTTGGCCATCTCTCTGGCTTCTGGTAAACTTTTTTTTTTTTTCCATCTGTTTTGCCAGTTCCAGCCTGTGGCTCAGGGCTGTAAAGAAGTAATTACTTTTTTGTGTGCATAAGCACACACTGAGACCTCATCGTGGCTTGTTTCAGCCCCACTCTACTAGAGACTGCCAGCAGATGAGATGTTTGTGCTGTGTAACATATCCCCACAGTAAGATGAAATGTAGATGAACGGGAAGTTGAAAAGTTGTAAAACAATATGGATACTATGTTTCTTTGAATGCCTTCTCTGTGTATGTTTCTGTATCATGCATGTGTGAATACAATATGGTAATATGTGTTTGTAATATGCAGAGGAGAAAGAAGTTTTGAAAATACCGTTAATATTGAGTAGGATTGAGAAGGGGGAAAGGGAGAGGAATGGGAGTATACTTTATTTTTAGTTTAAAAATTTTTTGAGATTATAATTTGATTATAACATTTTCCCCCTCCCTTTCTACCCTCCATGTTTCCTCCTATATCCCTCCTCCCTGTTTTCCTTCAAATACATGGGCTCTTTAAAAAAAATTGTTATTATATGTCTATAACTATATGAATATACATATATTTTCCCGAATATAACTTGTTCAGTTTATATAATGCTGCGTGTATGTATGTTTTTTGGGCTGACTGTTTGGCACTGGACAACTGATTGTTGTGCTCCTCTCTGAGGAGGACCCTCTCTCCTGCCCCGAGCTTTACTCAGTTGCCTGGAGTTCTTTGTGGAGGGTTGGGCTTCATGGGCTTTCTCCATCCAGTATGGTATAGTCGTTTGTGTCTTTCTGGTTCAGCTGGCAGTCATATTGGTAAGACTCTGTGGGGGTAGCTTTTGACATCGCTAGGAGTCTCATAGCAAACTCTCTAATCCTGTGTCCCTTATAAATTTTTAGCTCCACCCCCAGCCTTTTTTGTAATGTTCCCTGATAAGGGAGTGTTTAGTAGCTGTATCCATTGATTGGGCCTGGACTCTGCAACTTTGTATATTGATTGGATGTGGTTTTCTGTAATGGTCTCCATCTGTAGCAAAGAGAAGTTTCTTTGATGAGGGGCAAAGACTACACTTATCTGTGGGTATAAGGACAAATGTTAATATTTTGTTGTTAGGGATTACTAAATTAGTGGTTGTAGATTCCCCTTCAATAATATGACTTCAGTAGCACTGAGTAGTTAGCTAGTACCAGACATAGTTTCCCTCTTGTTGAGCAAGTCTTAAGTCAGTTAGAGAGCTATTGGTTAGCACCAAGGTATGCTGTCACCGTGGCATCCACAGGGCTATCAAAAATTGCACTTTTCTTGATAGCTTTCGATATGATTTGGCCATCTTAAAAGCATGTATTAGCTGTTGGATTAGGAAACTAAGTGTTCTGCATTGTGAACTTCAGAAACACTTTATCTATCTATCTATCTATCTATCTATCTATCTATCTATCTATCTATCTATCTATTACTTACTTACTTACTGACTGACTGACTTACTTATTTGGGTGCACATGGTTTGCATGTATAGGTCAGACAGCAACTTGCCCAAGAATTCTGAAGACTGAGCTCAGGCCTTTACGTTTGCTGGCAAGCACCTTTACTTGATGGGCCATTTTACTGGTTCTAATGTCACTTTTTCTTTTCTTTTCTTTCTTTCTTTCTTTCTTTCTTTCTTTCTTTCTTTCTTTCTTTCTTTCTTTCTCTCTCTCTTTCTGCCTGCCTTCCTTCCTTCCTTCCTTCCTTCCTTCCTTCCTTCCTTCCTTCCTTCCTT